TTAATTTTATTTTATTTTTTCCAGTTAATTGTTGATTCTCATGATTTGGCAGATCCACCATTACTCTGAAGGACTGTAGCTCTGTCACTTCAACAGAGCTATGGCTGTTTCACTTCTTTGGCATCCTCTGGGAACACCTGAGCCTTCCCATCCTACTAAGAGGTGATATCTTTTCTGTAACTGAGGATGGAAGTTCAGAATGACCTTTCCAGAGGCAATGTGGATGGAGATCATAATCAAATTCCTAGTTATGCTGGAAGGGGCCCAAGCAGGAGTTGGTTTTAGCATGAAGTCATGGTGTTGTGGAAGTAGTCAGGAAAGCCATGAAGAGGGTGCTGCAGCAAAAGTCCCATCGGGCTAGGAATCTCTCAGACAGTCTAATAAACTGAGATTGTTCAGGCCTTAATAGCACTGCTAAAGCTGCGTCAGAGAAATGCATTCCTACTCATCAAAATGCTCTGCCCAGTGTAGTCTAGCAGAGTTAATTATGGAGAAGTGCCAGGCAAGCATGTGACAGAAGGCTGCTTTATGTCACTACTTAAAACATGCAGCCAGAGGGCTCTTATACCATTGTTGTGATGCTACTCAGGACAATGCTTAGAGTAACTTTTGCCATGATGGGACTTAAGAGGACTGTGGTGCTGCAAGCTGAGCTCTAAAGTAAGCAGAGAGCACCACAGTTGTTAGATAGAATTTAAGAAAATGATGGAAGAAGTCTCAAAGATGGAAAAGCTCAGGATACATCATTCTCTTAGGGAGACAGCCCTTTTTCTAAGCTAACAGTGAGTGGGTAAAAGACAGAAGAAATACATGAATCTTAGTGATCAAGTGGTAGTCCTTCTGAAGTACCTCTTTGCAAGTTGCTGAGTGCATGCCACCACCATACTTGAGGGTTGCTTGATACCCACTCTTATTCAGCCCTTGCATAGAGGGAAAACCACATCTGTAAATGACCAAGAACTCTGCAGTTGCTGCTCACTATTTGTGCCTGGGAACTTGTCCAGCACTCCGGATTCACACTCTGTGATTCCCATGGAGATGGAGGGAAGCCTAGAGTGCACATCACAAGGTGTACAGAAAATATTTTGTCATGTGCAAAGTGTTCAACTCTCAGGTGCTGTCTCTGTCCCATCTCACTGTGGTGGGCCTTGTATGATGAGCGGTGTATATAGTTGTAGTGCAACCCCCCTGCTATCATTTTCCTCACACAGACACTAAAGATGTGCAGTATTGTTTTTGGTTTTTTTTTTCCCCAGACCTATGGTTGTAATTATTTGAATAAAAGAGGCACAGGTTTGTTTGCAAGATAGTGATTGCCTTTTGTTCCCCTTGCTCCTACTTTCCCCTCCTTTCTGTGCTTGTTTAGTACTGCTTGCAAAAGACCAAAGCAGACTGTAAAGCACGTGCTTCCCCCTACCACGACCTGCAAGGGTGTCCTGTGCTGACAAGGAACTCTCTGCCGTCTGTATTTCTCTGTAGCCATCCTTATTTGAGGGTCTCCTTCAGAGAAACAGGCACAAACAGCACCAAAGAGAAGGCAGCGGATAATTTTACTACTGTTTTAACAAGGTGTAAAACTATCCCTGCCGATGCCCCCTACCTGCAGGCATGGAAACTTGTGTCACTGCTGTCCAGGTCTGCACCTACCAGGCAAACTAAATCTGCACAGGTTTTCAGGAACTGCTGTAGAATGAGTAGGCTCAGTTGTCCCTCTCATCTGTGTCTTTTCAGGAAGGTGAAACAGCACTAAGTATTATGATGGATTTATCTGTACTTGGAAGGGAGATTAATCTATGTTCCAAACAAGCTGACAGCTTGTAGACTGGCTCTGGGGCCCAGCTGATTTTGGCTCAGACAAGGAGGACCTGACCCTAATGAGAAGAAAGAACTCTGAATTTGCATCACCTAGAAGAATTATGAGCAAGTTAAAGAGAGATTTGTTTATAGAAACAGAGGGAGGGGAGGGGCAAAACAAATTTTCCTCTTCTCATCTGAGGCTGCCTAATATGGGCATATTTCTCTAACGATTTCTCTAACCCTGTGCTTACTGATTTTTTTTTAGCAGAGGGAAATTTTATTAATAAACTAATAAAACTTGGACAAAGTTTTTCAGAAAAGACAAGACAAATCCCCATGGGAGTACATGGCTGCCCAGCAGAGGCAGCACTGCAGTAGCAGTCTGATGCTGTGCACACAGTATCCAAGAGAGTTTTCATTATGGCTTTAGGAAAGCTACACATTAAGTAAAACAGTTACTTTGGCACCAAGAAAATGTGTGTTTTGGTCAGAAACATTTTTGCCCAAGCGTCTGCTCCTATGGATCATCATACTCTTTTTTTAGCCTTATGCTAGATGGTATTCAGTTCAATGTCAGGGAAATATTTACCTGTGGGTTAAGTACAATTCATTTCAACAAGACCTTTTGGTAGCCATCACTGTTTTCATATTCAACATTTCTAACTTTTTTTTAAAATGTTTATTCGTATCACGTGCAGTAGCTGACAGTTAGACATCCTGTGAAAGCTGGAGCACTCATTCACCACAAGCCCAGGCACTCATGCAGGACTGGCATTTTAGCTTTGTGGATATGAAGATGAAGATGCTCCCCTCAGTTTTGCAACTAATCCTACACCTGCTAAGTTAGCAGATTCTTTCCCCTAACTTCCAGGTCAACAAAATACATATAGCACATTAGTCATAGAACTCCTAGGGACAGAAGACTGAGAAAGCCCCTGAGAAAAATTTCACATGACCCTGTTTGCTCAGAACAAATGATATCAAAGACACATTGTTTTGACCCAGAAAAGTGACGTTTTCCTTTAATGCACAGCTCTCAGGTGTAGACACAAATTTCCCTTCCCTTGCTGTTCACTTTCAGATTAACAAATAAAAAAGGGCTCTGTTAGACACCAGCACTCAGGCAGCCATGTAGTACTGCTGCCAACTTGAAAGCAAGGAGCTTTCCTTTTCCCTTGCCCACTAAAGATCAAGGCCAAGAAAGAGCAGCTCATTTGCCTTGAGGAGACAATGACTCACACTTCAGCCTCCTCTCATTTCTGCTTGGCACATATAATTTTGTTTTCTCATCCTGTAGACAGAAAGTATGATGGAAGCGCCCAGGGAACAGCTGCAGTTATTTCAACTATCTTAATTTCATTACTGACATACCTACAATCAGGAAAGTCAGGTCTCCATCTGACACTCTGTGGCACCTTTAAGTGTCAGACTTGTCAAGGATTTTGCTACCTAAATTTCAAAGCAAACAGCTCACTCTCACCCTGGAAACATTTTCTTCAAAAAGCAACCATGCTGGAGTGGAACGTGACAGCCACTGCTCAGCCCTTTCAAACTAACAGCTATAGCCTCACTCACCGTCCCAACAGTGCATGGCTTCATGCTGGCTAAAAAGAAATGGCATCTTCCAGCAGCAAGCTGTGGTCCCACTGCAGGCTCACAAACAGGAATCGGCCAATGAGTACAACTGCAAAGCCCCAAACACTCAGCTTGTCAAAGGGGCAGCATCAGGAATGGGAATTCAGGATGTGGTACTGCACCTGGTGGCTTCACTGTTTTTATTGAATCTCTTTTGTAGCCCATGGTAAATCACAAACAAGTGTGCAGCACCTGGATTTTTTTCCTAGTACACATTCTTATTTTTCTGGCATTCAATTTTGTATTGATTTCTGCATGACAGACCAGAGCAGAAATCAAAGTCCGAGGCAAGGGAGTTACAGGGTGTCACTGCCTAACTGCAGTGACTGCAACACACTGACCCTCAACCACAGCGATACGAGCAGAGCTCATAGCAGAATTACTCCTGCCTGAAAGAGAAGCATGGAGGAATTATCAGCCACGGATAACTGCTGTGAGATGTCTCAGATAGAGCCCGATACCAGTCAGAGCGTAAGAGACCAAGTAAAGAACAGAAATAGGACGATGTCAGTAAAACTCAGGTCCAAGTCTCATCCTCTTCCTTCCTACCTGCCCTGAGTTTTGTGAATCGCCGGTGTACAACGAGCTCCACCTGGTGTCTGAGCGAAGCATCAGCCGTTACCGTCTCAGCCCCTGGCGTTCAGACGAAGTCTGACGGTCAGACGCACCGCATAGCGTTTGTATTTAACAATAGGCTAAAGAGCTGTGGGATGGGTAAAGACTATGCTCTCGTTTTTCTGAACTGCTCCAGGTCGATCCTGGTTTGCAAATCCAGCACAAACCTGGAGGATAATGCAGGAAATCTCCGGAAGGAAGCAGAGTCATGAGACAAAATCATTTTATGTATTTAAATCATTTTATGTATTTTAACACCTTTAAAGGATGTTTTCCACTGCACCAGGATGCTTAAGCTTGGCTTTTGCAGTTCTTTCAGATCTAGAGGAGGATTTGTATAACCAAAAGTGCCTGTCCTCCCCAGTACAGTATTAGGTCTAATGAGAGATATTACCCCTCTCTACAAAATTCATTTTTCACCTATCTAATTGTAACACTATGAAGTGATGGGAAGTACAGCAATAAGAGCAGAGTGGCAATATCTTCAGCTGCAGCAAATGAGGACAAACCCAAAACCAGCAGCTGTGGATGCAGAAACAAAGGAAGAAAACTCATTTACATTTGGAAGGCCTCAGGTAGGCAGGGATCTCTAGCAAGATACCCTCTCACCTCCACTGCCAGCCCTTAAATGGGAAGGGGTGGATTCTGGCTCCATCCCTTCCATCATCAGCTGCATTGCTTGCATTTGAGCTCTCCTGAACTGGCCCTGCTTTCCCACGAGGTGCTCCATCAGGTTCTGACTTAGCATTTCTGCTACATTTGATTACATGTCATGGATTCTCTACATCATTCTGAGCGAACATGTCAACTTTGCCACCTAAAACAAGGGGGGGGTGGGGGGGGGAAACAGTGGTAACTGGGACAGTAGGTTACTACATCTAAATTCCCCCTATACTAGTTCTACTGCAACCAGACTGATATTACAAGAAAAGCATATTTACAGACCTAAAAGCCTGATTATTAGGATTTTATTTTATGTACGCTGCAATACATTAATGAGAAAATGTGTTATTTAGAGAAATTAGCATATCATGGCACATAACAATTCAGTGACATGCATTCAAATGCTCCTGCTAAGCAGACTAAGATTGTCGATGTCATTAAGCCAAGTAGCACAGTCTTGCTTTTGGAACAGCTATCTCTTCTCAAGCTTCCCAAATTGGGAAAAAGCTGCTCTGCAGTTAAGTAACAGAATATCACAGAATTCCCAGTAGCTACATAGAATAGTGGAATACTTAAATTTAAAAGGAGATGAGTTACACATAGTACAAATGTTTACTGCTACCAGGGAATTGTAAAGCCACATGTTTTCATCCAGTTGTGCTCATGAGAGCACTTAAGCACTTATTTAAAACTTATGTTGAAAATCCTAGCATTAAGCTTTGTTTAAATAAGAGATTTGCTGAACAGTCATATATACTAAACCAGACTTCTATTGTCTACCGTAAACCAGCTGCAGAGTACTGGTGTTAACATAAAGCAAAGTGTCCCTCCACACCTAAGGAGGCAGGTTGTGAAGGAACTGTTTCTGGTTACTGCTTGCTTTGCTTTCCAACCTCCAGCTGACTCCTAATATCTGATACTTCCACAGGGACCTGCACTGTCAGACCATCCATCAACTTCTTAATGCGCACCTGGCATCCAAGGCGAGATCTGAGAAGAAAATATTAAGTGAAGTTCATTTGTTTCCACAGTAAAGGAAGAAATTCCCAACTCACATTGGAATATTTGGTCCAAGATTACTTTCCACAGAAGCAAAAGACCCAAAAGAAAACAGCTCTAGAGGCACAGTTGCAATATAGAACAACCTGTTCCTTTGGAAATGGGTGCCAAACAGGTGCTGAGAATCTGTCTCAGCAGGGTTTTGAGCATCTATTACTGCCAGCAGGTATACTTACGTCTCTGTGAGTCCATATGCCAAGTCCAACATGTCCATCTCTTCATCTGAGATGGCATCCAGCTTTTGAAAGGCATCTTTCTCAAAGATGAGGTGGCAGGTGGAGCAAGCTAATGTCCCTTCACATGCACCTGGTGGAAAAGGGAGGAAGTGGCAGCAAATCAGCAAAAACATTGGGGTAAAGAGAGATGATCTTTGGAAATAGTGGGAGGAAAGGTCCTTCAGCAGACCTATAGCATGTCAAAAGAGACACCAGAAGACACAGCAGATGAAGATAGACTTCAGCCTGCCTCTGCTCTGGGAGGATCAAGGTTTTCATACTCATACTTCAACTCCAACCAATGTGCCACTGGAATTCCAGAGGCAGCAGGGCGGTAAGTGTGGAAAGACAGCCCAGTGAGCAGCTGTTGGGACAAGAACCTCACCAGAAAGCAGATGCAAATTGAGACCCCAGGTTTAAGCAATTCAAGGAAAGCAGACTGCATAGCTAAGTGACAATGATGAAATTAGTGAGAGAAATGTATGCATCCTCCCTGTGCTTCCTGGTCTCATCAGAACACAGTACTGTGTGTGCAGTTGTACTATTCCCAAGTACCCACTGGACACAGAACTCCTTAGAGTACATATGCATCTCCAACACCTACCAAATCCATCAATGGCCAAGTTTTGGTTGACTACCACTTCCAGCAGACTCTCCCCTTCTTTGGCCGTGGTTGTGAGTCGCTCTCCATCCCGATTTATAAAATGCACTGTCACTGAATCTGCCGAGCTGTAGGAAAAGTTTGCAAAAAAAAAAAAAAAATCAGAGGATCCCATCTTCTCCTGCACATCCGCTACCAAAGCCTTTTGGCTGAATACCTGAGAGATTACACTACACACATTAGAAGACATTCAGGTTGCCAGTTCTCAGTGGAAATGCACAAATTAGAGCAGTTCAAATCTGAGCTGACCCACAGTAGTTCCTATTTTACCGCACTTCTCTCAAAATAAATGTTCAGCTGTGAGTGAATAAACGCAGAGGCTCTGCACTGCTTCTGCTTGGGCTGGTGTGTTTGTAGGCATTAGTATGTTGTGGAGCCTGGGATGTTAATCCCAAATGCAGTAATAACAAGAGAAGCCCACAGGATCTAATAATAGTAAGTGATAAAGGATGTTGTCATTCACTCATCATTTCTCCCTCCCTTCCCAAGGGAATTGCTTGCTGACCATTCCTTTTCTGCTTGTTATTCCTTCACAAAGTGCTCACTTCTTGTGTGAGCTCCATCACAGTGGGCTTTCTTGTGATAAGACATGCTCAGCCCAGCTTACAGAACAATCATGCTGAATAACGTCCTCTGCGCTGATGCAATCCTTACTTAGGAGAAATAACTGGTTGTGTTGATGGCCTACAGGATTTAATCTAGTAGTATTAAGGACAAGGCCATCAGCATCACTTAATGCTGAGTTGGGGAAACTGCATCTACAAACAAGAGAGAAACAGCATTCATTCCATCTCCTCCAGATCAGGGCAACTTCTGACCAACATTCACAGCACAGTTCAACTCACAAACTCAACCACTATGATGAACTGCATACCCTAACCTAAGTAAGCAGCCTCAGCAAAACCCAGCATGTGACGCTGCACTTGGAAGCCTCGCAGGACATAGATGATGTGGTCTTGTATAGCCCCTGCCACCTACAGCCACCATCTCATCAGATGAGCATTTGATCTACATTCCCCATATCTTGTCAGGAAGAACATTCCAGGAAGGCATGGCAGTGAGGATTCCAATTGTCTAGAGAGAGTATTTTGCTTCCTAGAGTGGCAGACAACATCAGTTCCCCACTCTGCATTTACAGCAGCAGAGATAAGAAAAGCGAGAGAATCTGCAATTCACAGAGCACCTCAGTGATCATCTCACCTCTGCACAGCAGGATGCCCAGGTACCTGACCTGACCTGACCTGCCTACCATCCCCATTCCTCAAAGGCCTCATGGTCCCTAACGGGACCTCGATAGTGCATGAATTCATGTGCCATATGATATACTCATGTTCAGAATCCAGGCACTAGCTGTGGCCTCCATGGCTTCAGAAGCTTCCAGAAACAGAGGAGCAGTACCTCTCACAGATCAGTTCCCTAAACAATTTTCATCCCAGATCAACGTCTACGTAGCCTTATCCACCTCTCCCTTACAGATCATGCTTTGCACCAGTTTCCTTCTGTGGGGGCCAAGGTAGAGTTCAATGCATTTCCCTTCTGAAAAGGTACTTCGTAGTTCAGCAATATACGGGTAAGGTAAGGATTTTACTCACCTCGATTCCCCAGGAGAACACCGGAGCTTGCATGTGGAGCTGAAGCCTCTTCTTGACGTCTGCTTTGATCGTAAGCAATTCTGCCCAGTCACCTCACAGAAATAAACAAAGTGAGTTTTACTCACTTTCAGTCCACTTAACAAGGGTCGCATGAGCCCCGAGATGCCTTGAGCTATCATGCTACTGAGGTCTTTCTTTGTGCTTCCTGGGATGTCTTCTGTTGCAAGGCAAGCTAGAGTAAGAGTTATAAATATGGTGGGGGGGAGGAGGGGGGAATAAAAAAAAGTAAGGACAGCCTCTCTGGGGAGGGAGGAGGAGTGGGAGGAGTTGTGCATGAATCTTGCTGCTCTCCAGCCCACTGGTGGTTGTAACAGGGCACTCAGAGGTACTGAGCAAAGTACTGTAACAAGCATCATTTCCTCACATCAGTCCCCGAGGAAGATTCCTCTTGTTTTGCCTTCCAGACTTCCCTTACAGGAACTAGCCCTAAATCCAAATTTTAGGAGCAGTGTTCAGTGCAGTGTCTAACTATATTAGGGGACAGGGAGATGGTAACAAACTGACTGTTGGAAAAGTAGAGTAATGGAAACACTGAAGGCCTGAATGATGGTGCCTTGTGAAGACACGTGGGGGCCCAATCAGTTCTTACACAAACAGGGTGAAAGGCAGACTTACTCAGACATCCTCCTGACATGGACAACATCTGGCTACATCGTTCCCCAGTACTGCAGGCTCCCAGCTGCAGAAGGCTAATATTCATTCACACACTTCCCAGGACAGTCACAAAAAGCAGCCACGGTTCTTTCAGTTGTTAAATTCTCCGTTGAAAAGTGCCACAGAAGCACAGATAGGTATCACGTTTCACAGTAACTGATATTTCATGCTTGTGAAGCTTCCAGAGAGGAAACTTCCAGTTTGTTTCCTGAAACAGTGACATCAGTATAGAGTTGCTCTGCTCCAGGGTAAATCACTTTGCCTAAGAAACAAAACTCTGCAGTGGACAGTTTCAGTTTTGGTTGGGTTTTTTTTGTTTGTTTGTTTTTGGTTTTTTGTTTTTTTTTTTTGCGGAGTGTGAGAACAGCTCTCATCTCAGGATCCTGAATTGTCCCTCCAATTAACAGTTCACCATTCATTAAGATGCTTGATTTAATCAAGTTTTTTAATGAAATAATATAATACTAGCCGGCATAGGCAACAACTTTTGAAATTTGACTTTTTAATCACTCCATACAGGAGAAAAAAATCTGAAGTATAAGAATGAGAATTGGCTGGAAAATGTTCCTCTCTCCATGCACTCACATCCTGTGCCCAATCCTGCCTTCACTTCTCAGGCACCATCAAGAGGTGCAGCAGGCAAACCAGTGATCCAAACAAACAAGCCACAAAGCATCTTATCTCCAGCAAACCTTGAAACAAGAGATAAACTAGATGTATGTGCAGCAGTTTTCACAGCAAGGACATTCGTGTGTTTGCCTGACACTGACCTCTCTCCTTGCCAGGAACTCAGAGCACAGCAAGTGACAGGTCAATGCCACCAGATGGAAGAGAGGAGAGCACTAAGAGGGAAGTCAGGCCTGAGATCATCACACCCAATCCTGCAGGGAGGCAAGCAGCAGTTTTCTTGTGAAAACAGAAGTAGCCATGATAGGGTGGGATGGAACCACGTCCTAAGCTGGGCTCGGATATCCTGTGCTAAGGTCTTTGTAACAGCGAGGAAAAAAGTCTGTTGGCGTCAGGGTTTTTTTTTTTGGTGCTTTTTGTTGTTGTTATTGTTATTTTGGGTTTTTTTTTTTTTTTTGTTCTTTTATTCCCTTACTTCTTCCTTCCAATTCTATCTAGCAGCATGCCTAAGAGTAAATCCAGAATTTCCAGAGCAAAACTTCTTTCATTTAGTCCAGGATACAAATAGAAAGCTGTTAAATAACTACCCATCCCACAGAAAGAGAAAAGAAAGATAGAGGAGATTTAAAAATCCCCACTTAAAAAAAAAAAAAAAAAAAAAAAAAAAAAAAAAAAAGCCCTTGAAAATGTTGCTTTGAAAGACAGCACACAACAGGAATGACAGGCATAGCTGAAGTGAATCCTTAACTCTGTTTCATAGAAATTTGGTAAAAGTCAAGTTTCCACCAGCAAACACACATGCACATGCCTCTTCTTGCTCACTAGCAGGTCAGGCTGCCATCAGTGCAGTGGCTGTGCTGACACGTCTAGTAACACCTTAGCACATACTGGGAATGAAGAGATTTTTCTAGCCTGAAATACATTACCCAGTTTCCTCTGCACCAAAGGAGAATTTTCTTTCCTCCCAGTCCAGGGACCCTCACAGAAAATTTCCAAAATATCTGTGAGATGCAATTATCCCCCCCACCCCTGACTGTTGCATAAGTAGAAAACAGATTGATATCAGCACAGCATTGGTCCAACAAGACTTCATGCAATAGTGTTGCAGCCCTCCAGAGCCAGAAGCATGCTCAGGCTTCCTGGATTCTATCTCCATCTCCTCCAACCATAGTTGGTTTCAGGGCTTCCAAATACACAGGCATGGTCAGCACCAGGCAGACTTACACTTGTTCCTTTGGGTAGACACACTGTGCAAACCTGAAGAATTCTTCTGTTAACTTTGTAGCTTCCAAGAGACTGCAGTTGGACAGTCATGATCTAATCTTGTAGTTATTAATGTACATAGGTATGCAGTTCTGGGTTTGTGAGAGCAACTTCACTACCATTGAATGAATATCTGATAAATTAAGGGAGGAATACGTCCATCCTCAGAGGGAGTGGGAGGAAGAATCAGCAGAGGCAACCTTTCCTGCAGCTGAGCTTCCGCAAGGACAGAAAGGGGAAGGGATAGAAATTATATACACAGAAGAAACTGTCCCAGTCCCTACCCATGTGTGAGCTGCAAGGTATACAGATGCCAACCAGGTCAGCATATTGTCACCTGCTTTCTCCAGTGAAAAACTGATACTTGATAAAATTCAGGTTCTTAACAGTGGAGCTCGCAAAGTAAAGTAGTCCAGACAGAAGAAAGGAACAGAGCAAACAGCTCAATGAGTCATAACAAAGTTGAAGACCAGCATTCTGTCCCAGTACAGAATTGGCTCCATTATTGTTCAGAGGTTTGCGAGTAGGGCAGGTGGTCTGGCCACACGAAGGTAGTGCAAAAAGTCTGCACTGATTTCCATGAAATCACCAGACTCAGCCACAGCTCTGTTCTACCTTGGAAGAAATACATCACCCTCTGTGTTGTGCTCTATAAGCAAACAGGACAAATTGTGCCTGTTCTGCTTTCTCCAAGCCCACAGGACCGGGTAAAGAGGGCTGCCCCAAAACTGATGTTCTGAACTCGAACCTACAAAGCGTTTACACTAAGTGAGCTCAAGTCTCTGAAAGCACTGACCAGTAGGGGCCAAAGGGTTCAGGGGAAGGCTTTAAATATGCCTCTCTATATATCTGTCAAACAAGACTACCATTTTCTTGCTCTGGCCTTTCTCTAAGTTTTAGCAACTTTAGAATTGCCGAAAACAAATGAATCAAGGGACAAATTCTCACCACTGGAAGCAAGAGTGCAGTGCTATCACCAAAGATGAGCTAATGCTGCATCAGGGAAGCAAATTGAATTTAACAGAGCTCCTTGACAACAGCCACCTCTGGCAATGCAGCTGCTGCTTGGCTGGGTGAAGGCCACTACAAGTTACAGTACCCAGGCAAGGCCTTTATTTGCAGCTTCTCCTTTAGTCAGTCAAGGATGCTTCAGAGATGAATGGGAAGGGACTATGTCTGCATGTGGAGTACAGACGAGCTTCTCTATAACCTTCCAAGTCAAGAGCAAGATATTCCACATTCCCTTGACCCTCCCTCTTGACTGGAGAGCAACCTTGGCTTGTATTTCTTGAAAAGAGCACAATCAGAGGCAGTAACAGTGACAGGGATTTGTAATTTTCCAACTAACTCTGCTCACTAGAAAGCTCTAAGAGCGATATTAACACCTACACAGAGGAAATGCCTTCTTAAAAGATGATCCTGGAAAGAACTCCCAAAACTCCTTTATTCAGACTCACCTTATTCTTTCCTCTCTCCTTGTTGTTCTGTTCTCTGTAACAGCTTCATTGTGCTATTTGAGAATATCAATCCTAAAATTACTAGTAGCTTTGAGGGAGCTATCACACTGAACCAGGTGTGCATCCAAGCATTACTTTGTAGCAGCGACCTGCATCATCGTCCCCAAGCTGCAGACCTGCAAGACAAAAGCTAGCCTTAGCCTAACTCTGAATATGCACTGCAGCCCAGAGCCTTTTCTTAGAGATGAGCTGATTTTCCTGCAAGGAAATGTCTGACATCACACATGGATTCAACTTGCATATGACTATGCAGCAGTTCTGTGTTGACATCAGTCATAGATGAATTACACTGTTCTCTGCCAGTTGCCACGGTCAGATTATAGGTGGAAGTTAATTACACTGCATGCTCAGGACTGAGTGCTCCTCAGCTATGTATAACTCAACAGAACAGTCACACTGAATGGCACGGAGAAAACTAGTTGTACCTGTTATTGTGCTTCCTCAGTAGGAGATATCCTGTCTTCATGATTTTCAAGCAGTTGCCACACAACTGTCTATGCTTAACACACTTCATTATTGTGCTTTGCAAGAAGTTGGAACACAGCTCATAGATGCGCCTTCTCAATGAAGAGCCACTACAGCAAGATTCATGAAGTCTGAAACTTCCCAGGTCAGCTGACATGAAACATGGAATAAATTCAGTTTAGTATCTCAACCTGTCTAAAGATAGACTAGGATGATCACAGAATCACAGAACATCTTTGAAGTGACCCACAGGGATCGCTGAGTCCAAGCCCTCGCTCCACCCAAAATTCCAATCCTGCATCTGAGAGCAGTGTCTAAATGCACCTTGAGCTCTGGCAGCTTGGGGCCCATGAACTCTGCCCTGGAGAGCCTGTTCCATGCCTGAATACCCTCAGGTGAAGAACCCTTTTCCTAGTATCTAACCCTGATGCAGCTTCACACTATTTTGGAGTCTCCAGATCCTCCAGAAACATAAGCGTAAGTGAGAAAGTATTGCCTACCTAGAAGCAAGTGCAGTAAATGATAGAAACCCATTTGTGAGAGCTGCATTTACAGATCAGCATGCTTTCTCTTGAAGAATGCACTACAGCAGTGTTCAAGCGGACATTACAGTTCATCTGGTCTTGTTTGGGTTTATTTGAATCCTGGAAGGAATGAGGAAGACCATCCTACAAAAACTGTATCCATGCCAAAGCCAATACAGATTTCAGAAGTTTCCATTGCTCCAAGTTTCTCCTACAGCAGCAAATCTGAGTACCAGCAGGTTTTTTTTAGATCTCTTGCCTTATTTCACAGAGCAGCAAGCAGGAGATAGAGGCTATGCAAAGACCCTCTTAACAACCACATGAAAAGCAGACACAAATGAAGATCAAACAGTTCATCAGCAGAAAGTTGGCAGCGGCCATATTCCTCCATCACTGGGCCCTGTCTTGCATCCTTAGGAAACACAAACAGAAAGAAAGCCAGAGCAAAGCAGCTGTGAAACAAATGAGGTTGAAATCAACAGTGAAGGGCCAGGCTCAGACAAACACAGGTGAGACGTGCAGCAAGGCCAAGGCTGGCGACCTTCTTACAAACTCACCTGTTGCTAGATTCCTCCAGGGCCTGGGCACAGCCCTACACACCAGGTGTTCAGCTGGCAAATTCTTGAAACAGTTTTTCCTCCTCCTCTGGCTGCAGAAGTTAAACGCGATACAAATTTACCCTCCATTAAATTAAAACTTACACTCAGGCTGACCTTCTATGGGTCATGTGTCAGACATCTAACTGGGAAGCACACTGCTAGACTGAAAGCAAACTTTAAGCAATCATCCAGACACCATCTGCTGAATTTCTCTAAACTTTATTGGCACTGTAGGAAGAACAGGGTATGGATTTTAACAGCTCCTCCCAAACAGGAAAAAAAAAGCCTTAATATCAAGGGTCTATTTGCAAATAACCACATGGATCCATGAATTACTCCATAACCCTAAGAAAATGTGTTTTATTATAATCCAGTAAAAAGGCTGGTCAAAAAAATAATAATTTACAGCGACAACAACAACAAAAAATAGAAGGAAAAAAAAAAAGAGAGATAAATCAAGCCAGGCAAACATTTGATAAGGTATTTCTTCTTCCCTCCCTCCACCCCCATGAGGAGTAGTTATCCATTTGAACTGGGACATGGAAAGGAAGAAAAACAAATCTGAAAAATAAAAATTAAAAAACATGCCTACAAATCTCACTGTAATACTGAAAGCTTCTTACATTAGTTTTCTTGCAAAATATCATTCCTTTATAATACAGTATATATTTCCAAGGGAAGAGGACCATAAACACATCCTCCATCCCACAACTAATATTTTCTAGTTTTCTAATTGTGCATAGCTAGAAGTATTGAAATCAAATATCATTAGATACCACTGGAATATAATACTGCTTAAGAAGAAGGCATAGCTGAAACAACTACAAAGAGTGAGGTCAGGTCACTGGCACAGGCTGTTCTATTCTATATTGGACCAACTGGAGCTAGAATGATTTAAGAAAAAAAAAAAAAACCCAAACCTTATAAACAAGATATGCCAGCATCGTAACACGAGTTCAGCAATGTTGTGTGAGCAGAAAGGTTCACTGTTTTATTATTTGAACACATATTTCAGGCACTATATATCAGATTGTTAGGAAACTGTTTTAATGTAATAAGGGCTTTATTTCCCTGCAAATGCACCAATAGTTGCTGTGGACAGAGCAGAAGTGCTGAGAACCAGCTTTAAAGCACCAGAAGAGAAGTGTAATGGTTGTCTGCTCCACCAGTAATGAGACTCGCATAGAGTCAGTGCCAATAACCCTTCAGTACAGAAATATGCAAATCCGTTCTGACAAATTTAACTGCGATCTTCCATTTGTGACTTTCAAAGTACTGGAGCAGATGTTTTTGGTCAGCCAAAAGCTTCCTGCATTCCCATGTTCTGTCCAGGAGGGTAAAGGGGGCTCCCATACCACTAATCAGGATGTTCAGAAGTAGCACACTAAACTTCTAACCATAGTTTGGTTGATTGGTGTTTCCATGGATTACTCACAGACATGTATTGCTTCCAAAAAAATACAACACTGGTGAGGTTGTTTCTAGCAGCCCAAGGAGTTGATGAGGAAATACTGCAGTTCGTTAACACTGATGTGGACATTTCTTTTTTGGCACACTCCTCCTTTGCTTATAATAATAGGAGCTGAAAACACTTCAGCATTCAGATGTGAATCATCATGAGCAGTGATACCATACAGATAAAGAGGGCATCCACAAAATTGAGAAAGATTTAGAATCACATTAATTTAGAATCACATTAGGCAAGAAAATAAATCATAGGCTAGCCCCATTACTTTCTATAGGAACAAGCTGTACTAAGAAGGGCAAAGCAAATGAAGACACCATTGTAGAGGAAATCCATCGTTAAGAGGCTTCTTCTAGGGGTCCACATTTCCTTCTATAAAGGATCAAGGCTAAATCCAATTCAACCCTGAGCATACATGGCTGTTCCCTCCTTAGAAATGACAAGGAGGACCCTGGGTAGCCTGGTAGGAATGGATAGAAAGTGATTACAACAATTAACACAGGACGAGCCTCCCCACAGCCACCACTGTCCTCCTCTTAAGAGACAGAACCCTCTGAACTAGAAACTACAAAAAGGCAAAGCATCCTTCTGGAGAAAAAAAAACACACACACACACTCGAGCCAGGAATCTGGCAAAATGCTAGTGAAGATTAAGGCAACAATTGGACAAATCTCATGACCCTCTCCCTTGAAATGCTGCTGGAAGCCAGGAAGACACAGCTACGGCTTTGTTTCTACATGACCCAGATACAAAACAGTTTTGGTCCTCGGCTGTTCTTCACTTTTTATGAGTGTATCTATTTTAAACAAAGACATCTGAGCTACAGTAGATCCATACAGTCATAAGGCACCAATGACTACATGCTAAAAAGGCCTCATGGAAAAAAACTGAAGTCACGCCATCTGACTAGAAATGTACTGCTTCAGCAAAAGAAATATAGTCACAGGAGTTTTCAGTTGTTTGAATTTCTGTTTATGCCTTTCCATTTTCAGTGGTGACCTCAAGATGAAAGGCAGTGTTCTTTAGCTATCTCTGCCTCACTAGTTACATTCAAGTCAGACAAAATAACAGCAAACAAAACCATTTAAGCCATTTACCCAGAGGAAAACTTATTCCAGAAAGCCTGGAAGTCAAGGCATCCAAGACATCCCACATCAGTGAAAATATTTCAAAGGCCTCCTTGTGATTAGGAAATTTCATGTTTCATCTTTAAACAATAAAGGTAACACCAGCAGGAATGCCACAGATTCTGTTTGGTCTGCTTACATTTAAAGGACAAAAGCTTTGGTCTTTTAGAAACTAAGTCCACATTCTACCTCCAATCCTTCTTCCCAGACTCCATCTCAACTACGTGATTCAGACCCTTAATGACATCAGAAATTTAGATCCTGGCCTCAGAGCTTAATACTGAAGCTTGTGCAAGTTAGTAGGAAGGCACAATGTCAAACTGTTAGCACTTTATATAGTTCAGAGAAAGTATCTACTGGCCTCCCTACTCAATGAGAGAGAACAGTTACACAGCCATTTCAGTAAGCAAAACTAACTAAATGCAGTACGACTTTACCCAAAGTCATAGAATTTCAGATTTGCCCTAATACAAGTTAGCTTTCCCAAGCTATCCCAGGAATATGCAAGTGTCGTTCTTTCTTCTGTTGCTGAACTCCAGCATTTACCAAAAACTCTATAAATAAGACCATGGTCGCTCTTCTGTAGTGGTTCCAGCACAGCACGATTATGAGTGAGTGATGGGAGAGGATGAGAAAGAAGGGAGAAGGGACTGCAGAGCGGCAAGCGCAGGGGAGAGTTTACATGGACTCAAACTCATCAATGCGCTGCTTGGTGTTGCCCTGCCGAATCTGACGGAGGGTCTTGTACTTGTCTCGGCCCAGCCGCATGTTCTCAGCGTGGATCATATCATTGGCCGTCTTCTTGGTTTCATCCCGAGCGTTTGCCAACTCTGAGGAAAGAGCCTAGTGAAGGGGACAAAGACAGCAGTGGGTTAGCCAAGCCAGAACCTCCGTGCCAGGCAAGGAAGTTCCTTGTTAATCCTCCTACACAGGAAACAGATAAGCTCAACTGCATACTGTCTTGGGCAACCTTCTCCAGCTGAGCCTTCTTGAGCAGAATAGTGAGACTAGATGATCAAGAGATCCTTTCCAACCTAAGCAATTGTGTGGAAGTTGCAAATATTTTTTCTCTATATTTGAAAATAGTTAACTGCAGGTGCTTCCACCTTACTTATCTTTGTCCAGCACAGTAAGAAAGACTGTCACTAATTTATTTCAGAGGAAGGAGAAAGTCCAGTGGAGAAATACCTAAAGACTTCAAGATTGCCTTGCAGAAATCAAGCAACTACTAGCCTTCTACCACAGAAGAAATGCGTTGTGCATGACAGAGGACACCTCTGTCACTCTACCTATGCATGACCAACACAGCATGACACAAAACAAGCCAAGACTGTTCCAAGCCATGCAGCCAGAAGACATTTTAAAAAAAAAAAACCTACAGAAAACAAGCTACTACCACTTTCGAAGCATCAATACCTGAAGAGTGGAATTCCTTATGAGAAGGAGGTAAAACATTTCTACCCCCTCTTCCCCCGCACACGCTGAGCTGTAGCAGCTACTATCAGCATTTCGCAGTGCAATCCGTTCAGACAGGACAGTTACAGCCTATTGCAGAATAGAATTCAACCAAGCCTTCCAATTCATTTCAGCTGGACTCTGAACAGCTGTCAGGTAGCTGGCAAGACTCACACAAGCATACTCTATCTCACAGATGCTGCCTCTTGGCATTGCTTGAAAAGACTTCGCCGTTTCCAATGAAATAGAAATGAACTAGAGACAAAGTTCTGCCCCTTTTCCCTAATGGTAAGCAGCAATCCAATCAAGTCATGATCACCTTTTCCTTCACTCACTATTCACTACTCCCTTCTTTTATTCCTTCCGTTTTAAGGAATTCCTGTAAAAGCTCACAATCACAGTGACAAAATGAATAGTAGCAATGCCCATGCACATACACTCGGCTGCAAACTTTTTACCTTCAAGTGTTTCTGCACTCGTTCGTTTTTCTCTGCTTCAGTGGTACGCTGCTCCTCGCTGCGGTCCTTGATGGTGGCCTCTGATCGAAGCTCAGCACTGGCTTCTGCTGCATTTTCATCCTGCTCATCATCATGCTCGTTCTCAGAGTGCATTGGCTCAGTGACATGAGGAGTGCTCATGGCAGTCTTCAGCTCCTCTTTGGTCTTTTCTAGGTCCTCCTGCACCATTTGTGCCTGCAATAAGAGACCACACTTAGTCTGTGCAATTCAGATGTGACTAACTTCTTGCAGAAGCACACAAAAACGCTACTTAAGAGCCCTACATCTCTTGCACACTGAAGCGCTGTGTTCCAAAACTACTCAGTCACAGTCACTAGCAACATTTTCTGCTGGCTTACACATCAGAGATTTAAGGAATGGTTAGAACCCATGGAAAATGACCTATAGGTCTAATCAAACTATTCCAAGCTGGAGTTAGAACGCAGCACTCATTTTACAAGACAAAAAAAAAAAAAAGCAAAACAAAAAACCATAAAGCTGCATATTTGCAACAGCCTCTACTTGCAGACACCTCGTCTAGTGGCAGTATTCTAATGTAGTAGTTTAGGTCACAAAACAAAATGAAGATTAACTCCACAGAAATTACTGCTGCTGCTTCAGATTCTGCTTTACCTTCTGCTGCCACTCCTGGGCCTCACTCTCTTTCTTCTGCCTGGCCAATTCCAGCTGTGTGATCCTAGCTGTGAGTTCTGCCATTTCAGCAGCCTGCAAAGGAAAGTGGGGACAAAAGAGAAGTACTTGCTAAATGAAGCATTAGCCCAAGTTCTGAATAAAAACAGTATCTCTAACATGTTTCTTGTAAGGAGGATACTTCAGTCTCACTGATATCTAAATGATGCAAGTGGAAAAAAAGGGTTCTGTTGAGGGTTTTTTCCTCCTCCAAATACAGCTACAGTACTCACATCTTTGAACTCAAGCCAAGGAAAGCAATTAATGAGTTCTACATGCTGTTCTCAGCATCAGATACTATTGTAAGTTAAAAAATTAAAAAAAAAAAATCAGTCTCAGTGTACTGCACAAATAGATACAAACATGCATATTTAAATCTTAATTCATCATCTTTAATGTCTATCCTGAAGAACTAAAATATACTTCTTCACTATATTCATAGCTTAATTTGTTCTATGACCTTAAAAAGACCCCTACAATGTCACTGCCCTACCACATTTTCAGCTAACCCACTCACCAGTTGTTCCTGGGTCTTTTGTTGATCATGGGATGCTTTTAGCAGGGCTTCCTTTGCCTCTTCTGCTTCTCTACGTTCTTTAGCCAGTTTTTCTGCTTCCTCCTGAGCTCGCTTTCTTTCCTGTTCCAGCTCCATGGCTCTACGGGTCTGTTCTTCCAGTTCTGAAGGAATAGCAGAGGTACATTTGAAGAGAAATAAAGCAAAAAAGGTAATAGGAGGGTGCCCTTATTCCTACCTCCTGGATGGAATCTTTCCCATAGAGAGAATGGACAGACTCAAGCAACTATGTATGCCCTTTCCTCCACTTTACATTGCAAGTGGAGATTAAAGATGAAGAGCTAGACCTGCAAGCCAGCAGATTACTTGCTGATTGATTTGTGGGAAGTATCCATCTCAAAATGACATCCTTAAAGACAGAAAAACATGCTGCATTCCAATTGGGCACTGCATAGTAATGCTGGCCAAGCAACTAGATTGTAAAAGCCAGGGCACTGGCTGATATGACCCTCGCTACACTTTCTGACTCTTTCCTCTACAGATGTGCTAAGATAAAGCTTCCAGCTGGCATGTGGACAACTGAAAGAGAATCTAGCTGCCAAAGAGGCAGCTTGGCTGCCCCCCACCTCTTTAATACAAGCCATACTTCAGAGTATTTGCATCTGCTGAGTTGCATTCAGCTTCAGAAGGCTAAACTAGGGCCTTAACATTAGCCAGCACAAAATACTGGAATCTGAATGAATTGGAGATGCTCCTAGCTTTATTATTTGAATCTTTCTCATTCAGACTACCCAGACTGTGCATCTAATGGAATACTGGAGTATTTTCTATTACCTTGCTGAGCCTTCTTGGTTTGCTCCTCAATTTGCTTGAGTTTTTCCATCAGCTCCTCCTTCTCACGTTCAATCTTCTCTTTCTCTTTTTCTGCCAATTCCCTTTTCTTCTTCTCATTCTCCAGCAGGGCTCTGATAATGGGGAAAGTCATAATGCAGTTTATAATTTACAGCTGTAGTCTGTAGTTCTTTTTAGTGAAACTATAAGCACACAAGAGAAATGCGCTAGTTCACTCAGCTGATGATCTTTACTCCATATGTGCTCCTTTTAAAGTGAAGAAACAAAAAGCTTGCTCTGCTGGCATTCACCTTAGTAGCATTACTATTATGAACTTCCACTAACTGAAGATCCTTATATCAAGATTCAGATTAACCCTTTCAAATAGATGGGCACGCATTTAATTCCAAGGAAGTGGTGGTAAACCACACCTGTGATGAGAGCCACTTCCATCATCTCATTAGATATACTGAAGCAGAAAGAAGTCTTCCCGTTCTTGGCTCAAGCAGGTTAGCATGCATGCTGCCAGCACTTCTATCTAGCACATGATACTACTGTGGAGTGACCAACCAAACCCGGGTTACTCAGAACCTTGCACAGACCTCTCCATCTGTTTCTGATGCTTCTCTTCCCGAGCCTGTGCTTTCATCTGCTGCACCTCAATGGTATCTGGTTTACGTCTGCGCATGTAGAGCTCATGGTTTCCCATACAGAGTGCCAGGATTCGTTTGTTAATCCGTAACCGAGGGGCATAGAATACGAAGTCCTTGGGACAAGAAAAAGGCAGCATTAAAATTGTTCCTTCAGTGTAGTAAACCCTCTATGTATGCAACACACACCAAAACTCTCAACTTGCTAATACTGCTAGCCAGCATTTCTGATCAGTGTCTAATTCACCGCTGGTAGTAGTCAGACCTCCATCTTTCAGGAGTGAAATTCAAGATGATAAATTGACACAGGGCAGAATTGCCTAACTTCCTGTTACAGTCTACTTGGTATCATCGTAAAGCACTCGTAGTACACAGAGTGTGTAGCAGCTTGGCTCTTTTGTTTCATTAGAAATACAATCATGTCCAACCATGGGTGAGTTTACTAGGAACACTGAGGCTGTGCCTTCCTCCACTTTTATTACCACTTAATTCTTTAAATCTGGTCATCCAGATCATGTGCAAGTTTTTCTCTTATGCCACAGAGTGTTAAAAATTATGTCCTAAGGAAAAATAACTTAATTCTGTTAAAACAAAAACAGCAGCAAGAAAATGCTTCCAAGCAGCTGAAAAAAAAAAAAACACCAAGAATGACCAGAAGAACAGAAGGTATCAGCTGACACAGGATATTAACAGGCCTCAAAGAGTAAATTAACTTAAATAATGTTCATTCAAATAAATAAGGAAAAAATGTTCCCAGTGCACCCTACAAAATGATGCGAAGCTTCAGCTTCAAGTAAAACACAGTGAAAGATGATCCCATGCTACTAAAGTCAATGGAAGCATACAACAGTTAGCACAGGTGCTTAAGATCCCCTAATCGAATCAGAGAATTAAAGTGGTTGTAGGAGAACCAGAAACCCTAAGCAAAAAGCCTCTCTCTCTCTGACTTTGGACAGCATAAAGTTGCAGTGAACAAATGCCTCCCTTCCCAGCCTGAACCAATTTCCATCTATCCCCTTATTGCAGTTCAATACATTCTTGACATACTGCCCCAAACTGGTAGTAGAGAACTACTTAAGCAACTACTGATATTACTGATAAAAATAATATTTACAACTAAAATAAGTAAAACCACAGACAACTGATCATTCATTTTATATGATCCAATAGCAATGGGGAATGGCTTTAAACTAAAAGAGGGAAGATTTGGTTTAGATGCTAGAAGGAAATCCTTTTACTCAAAGGATGGTTAAGCCCTGATACAGACTGTCCAGAAGTGTAGGTGCCTCTTCCCCGGAGGCCAGGCTGAATGTGACCTGGGCAGCCTGATCTGGTGAGAGGGCAACCTTGACCACAGCAGTAGGGGTGGAACTGGATGACCTTTCAGGTCCATTCCAAACCAAACCATTCTACAATTCATCTAAGAAGAAACGGAAAGTTCAAAAGCTTTAATATGGCTGTTGCTTCTTACTGGTGCTTTCTTGTCAATAGGCTTGATCACAAACTTCTTGTCATTGAAAGAAATATTTCTGATCTCACTCCAAGGGAATCCAATTTTTGGTGTTAGCCTGCAGAAGCAGAAAACAGAGGAGATATAAGTCCCACAACATTTCAAATTCCTGAACTACAACATAAAGCTCAAAATTCTGAAAAACCTGCCCTCGTGATATTTCAGTACTCTCAGGTTGACTGGAATAAGCAAATAAAATTGGTCAGATTAATGAACTAGGGAGCAGTTTTCCAATCCTGTTTGATTAAATGGAGAACAGCTGAAGAATGCATCCACATCAGGAAGACAAAGGATAGAGGTAAAACTAGCTTGGTAAGATTTCAGTGTCTCATGGGTTTTGCTCCTAAGCAGCACATTTTATGGGGCATTCTAGCAAAAACACAACTAAGAATGACACATAAGCAGCAGAGTTCAGTATAAGAGCAAAATACCAGAGCAGATTAACAATTACTTTTAACTACCTTTACACTGAAAAGGACAAGAAGTCAATGAAGAGGAGAGTAGATTTATTACCTGTCATTCTGCTCATAAATGTTGAGTCCAAGAGCATCTACACCTAGCCAGAGTTCAGAGCCCTTTTTGTTTTTAATGCTGAAGTAGTTCACACCATACATTTCCAAGTCCTGTGCTATTTTTAGGTACTCCAAGACAGCATCTTCTCTGTATTATGCAAAAAGAAAGCAGATATTCTTTCTCAAGTCAATAAGCCATTTCATCAAGAAGGTGCTGACTATCTACACAGATAGAACAGCAATAGACTAGCCAAAGATCCCAAGAATCATCCTTGAAGACAAGAGTGAACAAGCTCAGCAAGTCTAGTTTTGTTTTTACTAACATCAGCCAGTTACATGGACTATCAAGGTCAGAGGCACATTGGCCTAGTTACTCTCAGTAGAATAAACTGATGAATGCTAACTCATGCTGGAGCAAGCTGCAGATTACTGTGCGACTTCATACAGTATACACTAGCATATATCACACTACCTTATATACAGCAGTTTCACATGCATCAGTTACCTAATCATTCCTCGATGTTCTTCATGCCACACCTGGATCCTCTCCTCCCACTGGTCCTTGTTAAGCTTGTGCTGCTCCAGAACTCTAGAAAGAATACACTGGATTTTTGAGACCAGCCACTGCATTTATGCACACACCACCACATCGGTCCAGAACAACGCTACATTAAATACTCCATGGACATCACAGCTCCCAACACAAAAAACATTTCCAGAAATATGGGTTTATAAGGCTAGGCAGAGACACATCAGTAGAGTATTCAAGGCTTCTGACAAATAACAAGCTGTATTCAGCTATGTTTCTCCTTGTACCATTACGTTATCAGGCTTTTATTAGAGCTTCTCCAACTACCTCCAATTACAATTTCCTCAGCAGCAATAGGATCTTTAAGAGAGGCCCGAGGCTATATCTTATTATGAATTCTCTGTTTAAGACTCCAAAAAAATTCCAAACATCTTAGCACAAAGATGTTTTAAAACTGAACAAATTCTCATACCTCTGTGGGAGCAGTTTGTCACTAGCAAGGTAACCAGACTTGTGCACTTCTTTATTGAAGTCGCCATACTTGGACTGGACAGCATAGGAAGCCAGTAGGACAGCTGTTTCTGGAGGACAGTAAATGTCATCATTCAGAATTGCCTCCTTCACTTGGAGGAAGAACAGGCGCTGTGTGATGTCCTGGATCAGCTCTTCAGCCACATCTTCCGGGTAGAACTTGGCTCGGAATTTGAAAAGAAGAGGGCTTTCCTTGCGTACATCCTGTGCTGTTACCTGGAGCAACAGAGTTATCAGATTTTATAGCTAACATGTCAAATGAAAGTGAGCAGGATTAATGGTCAGAAAGAGAAGACAAGCATGCATTAGAAAAAAAACCCTTTGTAACACAAATATGAATGGGCAAGATGCTCACATGAGCATCACATTAACAGTTACAAGGGCAGTTAACAGATCTTGCAGGCTAGGGAAGATTGACTGTGTGATGGGAATAGGGACGTGTGACCCATGAAGAATAAGAGGATGCTGTCGAGACATGAACAGATGAGATCAGGAAAGTCAGGCCACAGACGGAATTGACCTTAGCAAAGGATGTGGTAAAATAACAAGAGATTCTACAGGTACACTGCTCAGAAGACAATGGTCAAGGAACGTGATAAATGAGAAGGAAGAAATTGCAACAGTCATGAGAAGGCTGAGGTACTCAACAAGTTCCTGGCCTCAATCTTCACAGAATCACAGAATTGGAGGGGTTGGAAGGGACCTCAAGAGATCAGATTCCAACCCTCCTCCTAGCACTGAAGCAAGTTCCCTACAACAGGTCTCGCAGGTAGGCACCCAGACCAGGTCTTGAATATTTCCATAGAAAGAGGCTCCACAGCTTGTCTGGGAAACCTGCTACAGTGCTCCATCATCCCTATTGTAAAGTTTTTCAGCATGTTTGCACGCAGCTCCCTATGTCTTCACAGGCTTCCCACATCTCTCATGCCATTGAAGCTCTAGGTGAGAGTTGGAGGAGTAAAATTCCTCCTGCTGTAGCGTAACAGCAAGTTTGAGACTGCCTGATAAGACTAATGTATACAGGTCTATGGGACCCAATGACACACATCCCGGGATCTTGATGGAACTGTACATGAAGGCTGAAGGCTGATCATAAGGAAAGAATGCCTCCCAAAATAACCCGGTCAAGCTTGAAAAGTAGAACCATGTGAACCTAATGAGGTTCAACAAGGTCAGGTGCACAAAGTTAAACTTGCATTGCTGCAATCCCAATTATATGTACAGACTGGGAGAAGAACTTATTGAGAGCAGCCCCATGGAGAAGGACTTGGGGCTTCTGGTGGACAAAAAGCTTGACACAAGCCAACAGTGTTTACTTGCAGCTCAGAAGGCTGGTGGTATCCCGGGCTGCACCAAAAGGGGCATCAGAGTTAGAGAGAGAACCCTCTCAGCTCTGTCCTCTTAAGGCCCTTATCTGGAATACTGTATCCAGACCTAGGGCCCCCAGCACTACAGAGACATGGAGCTGCTCGAGAAGGTTCAGAAGAGGGCGACAGAGATTGTCAGAGGACTGAGGCATCTCTCCTAAGAGGAAAGGTTGAAGATAAGCTTGTTCAGTCTGAAGAAGAGAAAGCTTTGGAGAGACCTCACTGCAGCCTTCCAGTACTTAAAGGGAGCTTATAAAAAACCGTTCTCTCTCCTGTTTATGTGGTTCAATAGGACAAGGGAAAATGGTTTTGAAACAAAAGATGAGAGATTTAGATTATACTAGGAGGTTTTGTTTTATTTTTTTGTTTGCTTGTTTTTCCTTTTTTTTTTTTAAAGTTTCTTTTTGTTGTTGTTGTTTTTGTTTTGTTTGGTTTTTTTTTGTTGTTTTTAATTTTTTACTCAGGGTATGGTGAGGCACTGGCATAGGCTGCCTATTAGAGTTGTTGGCTGCCCCATCCCTGGAGGTGACTGAGACGAGGCTGCGTGGGGCCCCGGCCAGCCTGATCTGGTGAGCGGCAATCTTAAGTTGGAACTAGATGATTTTTACGATCCCTTCTATGCCTTTCTATGACTCTAACAGTCGAAGGAAGGTGGTATCAACTCCCTAATCTTGCTGTAACTTCATGTCCATAAAGAAGCAAGATCCCTGATAGAAGTACAGAGTCTGCTCCTGTCCTCCGAGAGAAGGGAACCTCAGACAAATGAGAGGTTGAAGCAAACATACCTTTTTATTTAATTTGAGCCACGTTGAGAATCCCTTTGTATCTTGATACTGGAGTCCAAAGAACCAGACTTCTCTCAGACCAATTGTCTTGACAACCTGCAATAAAGATAATTAGCAAGAGCCATGGCCAAACAGGCTGATCTCACTGTTAGCAGAAAACCTGTCTGAGGTAAGTTCAGATGAGCAGAGACAAGCAGTGCCCTAGCATTCTGCCACCCCTGACACTGTGCTCATACATAGATGACAGAGCATCTGAGAAATCCCATGTGGGAAACACATGCATCTCTTTCCCCATATCCTTAAGATTTGTTGTTACTTAAAATCAAATACTACATTGATTAGCCACTTACAAGCCAACTTTTATAGCCAAAATACAATGCAATGGATCTGTCAGGTGTAGCAGGAAAGAACCTCCACAGGAAATATTTATGCTGGCATAGAAGCTCTCTCCTTAATCATGTCTCTAGCAGGCCACAACTGTTACAAAAATAAGAGTTAAGGCAGCTTTACAAATATACTGTAACAAAAAAAAAAAAAAAAAAGCGCATCATGGGGGAGGGCAAGACTACTGCAATATAATGCTGGTAGAAAGGAGAGAGAATTTTTTTTATAACGCAAGTTCACCAGCACAAGGCCACCACTTTGTGCTCTGGCAAGTCTGAGACACACCTGCTATAGGGTTCATTCAATCTAAAAACTGAAATTCCTTCACATCCTTCCCGGACACCCTGGAGTTGATCTTATGCCTGCAAACAGGGCAACGACCTTTAACTTCCACTACCAGACAAAGGAGGAGAAAGGATAAAACACTTATCTTGAGGTCTAACACTGTACCTGGAGTACTGCTTTTCAACACTACTCCCCCCCTGTGCTTGCTTCCAGCTTTCCTCCTGCAGAGGCTAAAGGATTTGACAAATAGTTGAGGTAGATTTAGTCCTGCCTTGTCCCATGATTTACATGATGCCTCTCTAATTCTCTAATTTCTTTTAAGTTACTTCCTTGCTGATTCCTAAAGATGTGCTCTATTCTCTTTTATGTGGAGTCCAGATTTGTAAAGCCACAAAATTAAGGACACGGGGTCCCTGCAAACATATTACTAGTTCAATTATTTAGGGCTTGGATCAGACATTTCTGCTGGCTTTACAGAAGTAGTATCATGGCAGAAAAAAAAAAAAAAAAAAGCTTTCAGCAGCTGCATGCTATTAGAAACACACACAACCTACATAAGGCCACATAGACTATACACTATTCTTCAAGTCCATGAAATTATTCAGCCTATCTTTGCCTGAATATGGAGAGCTGGCCTAAATAACACTTTAAACAAAGAATGTAGGTCTGATAACCCTTCACATACACACGTCACATAGTAGGACGCATCCAGCTAAGGAGGGTTTCAAAAAAGCATTAGATTTCGCTGTATATATATATAGAAAACTCTTGGTAGAAAGAGAGGAAGAAAGGCTGTCCTAGAGCCTAAGAAAAGCTTTGTTCTCTGCAATATTAACATTTGAATGGAATGGAGGCTCACCCCCACTGCTGTATGTGTCTGCTTGCCTCACTTTCATTTGTCTGCAGCTTAAGCCTGGGAATTCAATAAGCTGAACTGCCAGCAAGGAGCTGAATGGCATCACACTGAGGCCTCGCACAAAAGGACTTTTATTCCACAGCAGAAGTCTGCACAGCAATTGCATTGACAACAATGGTCTGGACAGAGGAGAGGGGGAGACGGCACAGCACACGCACAAGAACTTCACAGCCCCAGTCGGCTACTAAATCAAACTAAGATGCACTGCAATTCCTCCTCTAGGAATTATGTGAAATGTAAAGCAAGGCACATGGTGGCTTGTTAATCTGAGCATGGATCTGTACAATTCAGCCTTCATCCTGAAAGTAAAGGCAGATGATGGTAGCCTCTACCAAGTGACAGTCCTTTCCACCTCAGCTTCAACAGGATATTTGGTTCAATTTTGAAAGCAAAACTATCATGAACTAAAAAGTTTTCTACAGGAAAACTCCACTTTTTCAGGTCTGCATGGCTTTCTCACCTCCCCCTCCACAAACACCAGTCTCCTTCCCAGCTATTGTTCTTGCCATTAAGAGCTGTCTCACAGCAGAAGGAGGGCCACAAGTAGACCTCTTAAATGTAGATTTTAGCATGAGGATGACTGTTCAAGATTGCTATAGTTCTCAGCCTAGGAAAATTGTCTGGAGAAGAGAAGGCTAGGGAGACCTTACAGCTGTCCACTTGAAAGCAGAAAAGTACCTGAAAGGAGATTGTGTCGGCCTCTTCTCTCACATAAATTGCAACAGGACTAGAGAGAATGTCCTCAAGTTGCACCAGGAGAGGTTCAGGCTGGATATTAGGAAAAATTTCTTCTCTGAAAGAGTGGTCAGGCACAGGATCAGGCTCTGTCCAGGGAGGTGGTTGATTTACCATCTCTGGAGGTGTTCAAGAAACATTTAAATGTTGTTCTAAGAGACATGGTTTAGTAGTGAAATATTAGTGGTAGGTAGACATTTGGACTAGATGATTTTGGAGGAAATACACCACACATGCAAACAAGTGCAGATCCAGCATGAAAGCAATATTTACGCAAAGACAAAAGCAAAGTATTCAAGCAAAAAAGACATTTCAAGTTCCTGCTTCAAAGGATAGAGCATCACAAAGCATCCACAATACTACATATGTCTTAAACATTGCCTGTTGTCCTTTCCAAAGATGAAGAGGCCATGAGAGGCATGTCAAGTATTTTTGACAGAAATTTGTTTGCAAACAATACTGCTGGACTGCTCTGACCTGGCTAATCTACCTCATCTGCAGTTTAATATGCCATAGTTTTTCTATTCAATTTAGTAAAAGAGGCACTTTGCAGATAAATGTCACTTAATTATCCTGCTTTCACTGCCACTGAAAACCTCTGTGCCACTGCACAAGTGTCCTTCCTTGATTAGGCCATGGATTAGACAAGCAAAAGATCTCAATCAGGCCCAGGTATTATTTGGCTTTATATCCTGCAATGATCATGACTGGGGAAGCCTTCTCTCAATTACTTTTCAAAATTGAATACAGCATTGACTCAGCTAGTATTCAGGCACATTATGTCCAAAATGAAGCATGAGTAGAGAGGAGTAGAAATAAGAATTCACAAAAGTAAAAGAAAAAAAAAAATACAAATTCCGCTTCTTAGTTCAATTGCAGAACCAGGTTCCTCAGAGAGTTCAGCACTATTACATATTCATCTCAGAAGCACTCCTTCCACATCTTAAAGAGAGTAGTACTTTTAAAGTATAAGCTGACCTTACCAAAACTTCAAATAACGTAATCCAGGCAACTCTGTGAAATCTAGACTTGGCCAAGAGAAAGATGCTGTGTGCACTAGCTGAATCTCTCTCTTATTAACATGCAAAAACAACAACAACCAGCAAATGAAGAGAACAATGGCACTTTGACCAAGATTAGCTACAATGCTTGAAAAGTCACTTATCCTCTAAAGAAGTAAATGGAACCATTGACATTACTGTTTGCTTCAGGTGCTGACCTCATACCCAGGAAAGTGTCTTGGGAAGGCCAACAACTTGCTGTCACAATCTGAAGTAATAGAAAGCTTTTCTAGTGTCACATTCCACTTTAAACTGTACTTGAATTCACAGCTCTTAACTGGACAGCTGTTGCGCTCAGAGAGATGGTTTTTTTGCTTACTCTAAAGGTTTATTCTGGCATGACATGCTGAGGTCACTATCTCTTGGATTCTATGATGTCTAAAAGCTAGTAATGAACAGTCTGAAGTCTGTGGTCAACTATAGGCTCAGACAGCACAAAGCAAGTCATTGAGAAGAAAATCTGCAGTCAGAGAAGTAGAGTGCATTGTAGGATGGAAAAAGAAGTACTGACTAAACAGTTTAGAAACCACTACTCAATTGTTTTTTTTTTTTAAAAAAAAAAAAAAAAAAACACTGACATAAGGCCCATCAAGTTGGTAGAGATGCCACCCATCCATTGTCCTATCCACTCAATAGGTCTAGTATTGCATACAGCTAAGATGCCTCTACAAGAAGCTAGGAGAAATAAGAGGCTTTCAAGGGGGAAAGAACAAGAAACCAAAAGAATCCAAGGTCAAAAGCATCAGAAAAAAAAGCATTTGAGAAGCTGCCATGTGCAGCTGATTGGGTATATAGAAGAAGGGAGTATGCTTTCATACTACAGATGTGCTCAAAATAGAAGATTTAATAACTACAGCCAGAGACCACATTCATCTTTCACAGAGCTACTGGCTTTCCTGGTGAGTTGGTAAGCACTGCAGTTCAGCAAGTGACACTAAGAGGCACATAAGCAGAGCAGCTGAAGACAAGCTGGTATAGGCCTCCTGCCTCAACTAACAGTTTTGTCAGCATAAGCTATTTAATGCTACAGCTATACAAGCACTGGAAACAGGATGATATAGGTAGATCTCTAGTACATATCATGATGTTACTACACTATATATCAATTCATAAGGATTTTTCTGCTCCAAGGTATCTGATTAGAGAAGATAACAGTACATAAGTTTACTTCAGAATTTAGCCAAGCATGAGAGTGAGGCAGGAGCATCCCTACTTCAAGTCCATTTCATTACTATTAGTGCAGAACGTTCTCTCCAGATTCAAACTGCTCTTCCTCGTGAAGAGATCATCTAGCTTTCAAGAAGTCCTTTTAATCCTTATTCAGATTAGGTAATCACTACACTGGGATAGATATATTTATTCTCCCTTTAGACACAGCGGGTGGAACCAAATGCTACCTAAACGCTGCTGAACAAAGCCAGCAGCGTGCACCAAGACAGATGTGTAACTAAAAACCTTGGTAAAACTTGTTTGCTTCTTGCCTAATTCAGAACTCACAACTCACTCAAAACGAAAGGGCACTCTGGGGCAAAAACATTCAGGGTATCTAAAAATTTTTCTGTGAAAGAGTTGAAGCCAGATTTCACACCAGGAGGTCAATGTACTGCAGCAGCAAAAACACAAGGTTGCTTTGTAAAGAAACTCTCTCTACCCTCAAAAAAACTCTGATGATGGCAGACACTTTTTCCACATTCAGCATCATGCACAAAACCTAGATTAGCAATTTCAGGAGCACCTCATAGCTTAAGGGAGCTAGGAAATTAACACTCACTTCGCTCTTGTAAATCCTAGCATGAGACCAAAGGCCACCTCAGGATAGAAATTGAGATAGAGTGAACAGACATTAGTCAGACAGCAATCATTGCTTAGATCCCTTTAGTAGCATCAGCAGGGAAAACAGCCCTGGGCTAGCCCTTTAGAGGAACTAATCTACACAAATAGCTCAGCCATTTTGAACCTATCAGATACATGCCAGATGAAAGTATTAAAAAAAAAATTATGAAGATGACAAGCCAGAATTGGATAAGCTACAAGATTGCACTTCTCCTAAATTCTCTTAAGAGTGAACAAGTATTTGTTTTAAAGAGCAACGAAGAGAGACAATGGGGGTAAAGCAGAGCACTGGATTAAAGATTAAGTGAAGATGAGAACTATGTTTAACATACGCAACAGTAAGAAGCCTATAGCTACAGCATGCAAGCACTTGCGCCCCTATCCCAGCAATTTTCAGCCTTGATGTGCAATTCTGACTGTGGACAAATTCTCTCTTCCACACATGCAGCTGTTCACAAAGGAGTGAAATCAATTACTAAGAGATGAAAAGTTCCCATACAGGAAAAACAATTACAAGCTTCACAAACACAGACAAGCTGTTCAAGTCCAACTTTCACACCACAATTTCATTTTGTACTAAATGTCCAGTGAGGCAAAAGCTACAGGTGGTCTAGAGCAGACTGAAAATTTTATGCAGATTTAAAGCACTACTGACTTCAGCAGCAACACTTCCTAGTACCTGGTGCTTTGTTTACACAATGCCAAAAATCAGATGTTGAAAAATAGTAGAAAAAACAGGAAGCATCCAACTGAAGAAGCACTTCTCCAAAAAAACAAATAAATAAAGTAAAATAAAATTACAAAATCCAGTTCATCTCTTGATGAATTTAGGAGTATATCATGTAAGCTTTAATAGAATAAGGTTTCATTAACTAACTGGTGGAGTTCCACATTGCACACATGCGTTCTCAATGGAATCCAGAACTAAATTCCATCTATCAAAAGAACTGCGAGAGTCTTGAGAACACACAGGGCTCAATATACTAGAGCTACATGGAAACAGCTGAGAAACTACACTACAGCACAGAACTTTTTTGAAAGCCTTTTTTTCCCATCCCATCATAAAAGGGCACTCTTTGCTAAGCCATAGAATCTCACTCTACTGCATTCCAGGGCTGTGCCATAGAGGACAATATAGTATCTAGCTTTGAGTCATTCAGGTGAGTAATGAGGGAAAGTAGCAGTTTGTGGTTATACATAAAAAAAAATATATTAAAAAAAAAAATCATGCTCTCCATCCCCACATGAAATAGCTGACCTCTACAGGTGGGGTCTGCTCTTCAGTTTCTCTGTTTATTAAGACAGGCTCAGGGTAGAGCTGGTCCCAGAATGCCTAGTACTACCGAGCCACGGCCATCCCTGGCATACCTGGTCTGGCAGTTCCTTCATCTGGTCATGAATCTGAGATTCATTTTACTTTCCTTCAAGCCATGAACTTATTACTCAGATTCTTCTCTGATTAGGAAACCCTTGATTTTTTTCCTCAGTGTCCTCACAAAGCCTTGACTGTCTACAGGAAGAGACTACGTCACTTGCGAGCAGCACAGATGCTTTGAGTGGCTAGACAGTTGCCTAGATATGCCCTTCAGGATTACAGCAGGAACACACAGTGGAGCCTGTCAAAGTTTCAGCAGCTGCAGTTAAGTCTGTCTTCAGCTGCTCCAAACTTGGGTTGCGTGTCTCCCTCTTTCTGTTTGGACCAAAGTAGAAAGAACCTTGCCCAGTCAGTGAATGCAGGGGAAGGCTAAAGCACCTAGATGAAGGCTCAATATAATACAGTACATAACTTTTCTTAGTATCGCCCTCAAGCTGTGTTGGGAGCATAGAATATCACTTTGCGTGCACAATGCTGCAACAATGTTTGAAACCTCAGCTAAGACCATCCTGTTCTAGATCAGTTTCTCTTTGAAATCAATTACACAATGTTTGCAAGTAAGCCAAGCTTAACAGTAGCTGCCCTGTAAGACTGATCTCATGAGTTGGATAGCAGTAGATATCTGCAGCCACAACTCAAATTATGAACTACAGTACCAATACAGTTTAGTGAAAGTAAGAAAAGCTCCTAACATATTCTTAAAAAATAAAAAATACAGTAGTTTTGAAAAAAGCATGTCATTTCATATTTTTGAGTTCTCTTAAAGTTGCTATACACACTGTCATTTAATACTGGAAGCCCTTAGAAACTGTTGTCAGAATCACAACACTAGCATCAACTTCAGATCTTCTGCAGCTCCATTGCTTACCTGATCAAAGAGTTGTTTCCCTGTAGTGTTGGGCTGGATGGCAAATTCCAGCTCAGCATCCATGGTGGTAACACGCACACTGATCTGGAAAACAGAACAGACATCATTATAATACATGCACTGACATTACACAATAATGAAAAACATCATCTGCCTCCATCCAGAGACCCATTCCCAGGCTTCTAAAAACTCCACTGCCAGCAGTTATAAAGTCACCTGCCCAGACAGCCCAGTGTTCCCAGCACCCACCACTTCAGCTTGCTCACAGAGCATAGCTTTCAGATGTCCTAGTGTTCATCCTGCCTGATGCAACTTGCATACAAATCTACATACTGAAAACATATGAGAGGGCCATTTACAGCTGATGAGGTTGTATTTCTCAGTGTAGGAAATCCTGGAATCATTCAACAAAGCAAAGATGTCTCAGACCTCGGAACACATGAAGGATAAATATCAAGAAAGTTCTTGGAAGCAAAAACAACCTCAACCTGTTGCAGAAGAGTAGTAGGTACAGAACAATATTGTTCCAGTCTCCATAGATATCTGGGGAGATTATAAGGCACAATTCCTGATATTGTTCAAGGGCTACGAGTAGAAAGCAAACAAGATAGAATAACACGCGAAGGCAAAAAGAACACGTGCTGAACTAAGACACTAGTATGAGCAGGCACTTCACAAACCAGTAGAATGATCCCTATGTAGTTGCATACTACCACCTGGTTCTCTCAGGGAGGTGAAACATCTAGAAACAGTGAATAAATGTTTTAAGTGACCTTACTATGCAGCCAAATTTATTAAAAAGACCTTAAGCAAAAGGTAATGAGATAATGAATTGCCTTTCAGAAGAAATATTATATGATCCACTCTAGTAACAAGCTTCTCACCATGCAATGAAACTGGCAAGAAAACTGCAACAAGCAGCATTATAATTTCATTTTACAGAAGCAAGAATATACCTGTTTATCTTTCACCGACAGTTATCAGGGAACAAGTTAAGAGATAAAGAGCAGAAGCTTCTTATCTCAAACATTTGATTAAAACATGGCTGATTCCATTTACAACTTCACATTATCAGAATATTTTGTAGATTCCTAGATGTAGGAATACTCCCTCCTGGACACACAGATGACTTAACTTCTAACCAGGCCAAGTCTTCAAGTACACTGAGATTTCTGAGAGCTCATTTCTACTTGCTTGTTTGTACTCCAAAAAAGAAAAACATAAAGAAGCTGCAAAGATTTTAAGAACAAAAACCATTTAAACACTTCTCCAGTAGAGCAAAGGTTGAAAATGTGAAGGTACATAGACAAGATTCAAAGTGCACAAAACCCCAGTGTACAGGCATTACTCTTGCAGCTCTCTTCCCTGCCAACAGCAATTTGCTGTATATCACTAAACCCTCATTTATTTGCTCTCCAGTGTAATCCACCTTCTTAGCCTACCCACTTTCCAGGGGTTAGAAAGGTACGCTGTGAACAGTTTTAGTAAGAGAGCTCAAACTGCAATTTATACTGTAAGTTAACAATGTGACCAGAGACAATGTAACACCAGAGACTAAAAAGATAGAGTAAGCACAGAATCGTTTGATATGCTTGCTAGGACTGAGAGCCCCAAACCAGTTTTGCTACTTGTACTTAGAAGCAGTTTCTTGCACCAGAGGAGTGTCAGCTTCTACATCTGCCTTCCTTAGGACATATACCAGCAAGAACAAAGATATCCATAAATTATGTCTAAAAGGCATTGGGTTAAACAAGTCATTAAGCAACAGATTGTTGTTTGCTTGCTTTAAAGCCCCTTCTGTTCACCTAATCCGCTTACATACCAGCTATCATGAAAAGAATATATAGGCTTTCGGTTCTCCTGTTAATGGACAAAAATGCAGTAGCTACCCTTGGCTGACAACACCTGCATAAGTGATTAAATGCAGAAGTATCTGAGCACAGGGGAAGTACCAGAAATCAGAAACATTTATGGCAGCTCTTGGCAACCTGTGCCTGAATTACTTTTCAGCTCTGCTCTATAAGTTTTAAAATAAAGCTGGTTCAGTTAGTATCCTCCTCACAGAATGGCCCAGCGAGGTTGCAAATGCACCCTCCCTGGAAGCACTCAAGGCCAGACTGGATGGAACTGTGAGCAATATGGTCTAGCAGGTGTCCCTGCCTATAGCAGGGGGATGGAACTAGATGCTATTAAAGGACCCTTCCAACCCAAACCATTCTATGATTCTGTGAATTTCATGAACAGTTACTATTTGTAAGACTCACACCTCTGTTAGCACAGTAAAATAAGGTCCCATGGTACGATCAGTAAAATTCCTTAACTGTCATTCAGTTTAAACATACTTGAGTTCCCGATGGGTTATCACCCTTCAATTAATACATTAAGTAATAAGAGATGGACTTCTTTCCTAATAGTAGCTCTCCGTGCTCAAGATGAGTAGCAATTCAAGGTTTAGAAGTCTTAAACAGGGTATATTCATTTGCAATTTCAGTATACACTTTTTTAGAATACAGCATGAGTAAAGATACCACAGGAAACAGGCATGTGTTTTACAGAACCGCACCCCAGTAATTCTAGCTTCCCTGATCTGCACAAAGTTGTAACAAATAGCATACTGCTCTCAAGGACCAAAGGAGGAAAGCATGTCCCGGGATGTAACACCGCCTCAAAAAAAATCCAAAGTTGTTTTTCTAGTTTCATACCCCCCATCCACCCCCCACGTGCTTCCAAGCTGTATTTTTAAGCCAGCTGTTGTGAACTGGAAAAACAAAGTGAAGTTTCCACCGTTACAAGCAGTGGGAGGTACTGTTCTCCATTCCCAGTTAGCAGATAAGAAGCCTGACAGTGCTTCAGAGCAGATGCAGCTTCATAGGAGTGTTTTGCTTCTGCTCAGTACTGCTATAGAAACACAGATCACTGAGCTTCTGCTCAGTACTGCTATAGAAACACAGTTCTTAAAGCATTTGGGGGGAAAAAAAAGAAAAAAGGAAAAAAAGCACCAAGGAGGGAGCTTTGTTCTAAAAGATGCCCCACGACAATTCAACTCCTGGTCACTTCACCTTAATGGGTTCTGACTGCAGCTCCGAGAGAAACCACCAGAAACTGCCTACCCGACCTACACACTGCCTACCTGGCAAGTAAATGCCAGACACTGCATGATCAACTGCATTCTCCTCATTCAAAATACTATCTTTAGTTAAACCACTCTGCTAAGGCATGCACAACTGAGTACTGTCTAACACAGAACTAAGACAAGACATACACAAAATGCTTTATCAGAGGAAAGAATAATCTGTCCCAGCATAATTCAGACGTTTATGCTTGCTTTGTCCCTTGAATTACTCCGCCAAAGTACTTTTAAACCATTAATGTAATTTAGCATCCATGCTTATTCTAAGCAAGAAAAGACTCAGGATTCATTAGTATTAAGATTTGTATTTCTAAACCATCCAATGAGGTTTTCCTAGATTAAATATTCTAGCACCTACGAAGCAGTACACATTGGTCTGTCTTCCTGTCAACAAATAATTGTAGCATATATACAACAGATTTGTTCCCAAATAAGAATAAAAGCCTGTCCTCCAAGTAACTGCAGGAACGGTGTAGTGCTATGCCTGAATTAAGACACAGTCTTATTTCTACTTCTATTGCACAGCCCTTTTCCTCTACAGGCACCCAATCTTTGCCCCATAACAAGACAAGATCTGCCTGAAAAACTTGATTGCTTTTCCCAGGCAGAACATAACAAAACTACTAAACTAGAATACACTAGAAGACAGCCAGTCAGATGGAGACTGTAATAAGCGTCCAACTGCTCATCAATACCTTCATTTGAGGGCAGTCTGCCAATAAAATAAAACACTCCTTCTGAGTGTAACTGACTTGGACTGCTGAGCACACACGGTTCTAGCTCTGCCATACCAGGCAGGCGAGGCACATCCTTCTCCAACACTAGCAACAGGAGAAAATACAGTGAGAAAAAGACATTACCTGCCACTGATTACAAAGTCCAGTGACAGCAATTACCCACATTCCTTTATCCAAAAAGGATTTTGTAAATTTCATGAACTGTTACTAATTTTAAGACTCATGCCTCTGTTAACATAGTAAAAAAAGATCCCGTGGTACAATCAGCAAAATTCCTTCACTGTCATTGGCCTCTATGTGTTTATAGGGCTTACTTTCATCATTAGCAGATTTACTAAAAATGCTATTCTAAAACAGTAAGTTACACTGAAATTCTATTTAAAGCAACTAATTGAATTTCCATCATTTATAATGTGTTACATTTATAATTGCTGTACCCAAGTGCCTCCAACCCTCAAAATTCTGCTTAGATCTTAAACTAGTAGAATTTTTACCCAGGTAGATGACCTTTAAGTAGGCTGCTTTTGACTTTCCATTATCATTTAATAGATTATTTTGCATACTAACAGCTAACAATACTGTATAAAAAGCTTCTAGATAAGGCTATCTTGCACATTACAAGAAAATTCATCACATTTCAAAAGAAGCACAGAGCACACACATTTCAAAAGCCAACTAACCTAAAAAGTGCTCAAGAAAAAAAGCCAAAATGTAACTGATTCATTTCATAATGGCTACAGGAAAGTGCTAGAAACCTAGCAACTCTTCCTCTTCTCTATCTGGGGACTCGCATTGCTTTACCAGTCAAAGCACAACTAAAGATTGCCACTACAATCTATTTGCATCTATTTCCAACATCTTTTCGGAAAGATTGCCCATACACTTTCAAGTCTCACTTTTTACTCCACTCAGAATCCCAGTAAGTTCTACTAGCAGGAATGATCAGTGTTCTTTTGCAAGTCTGTAAGTGAGCCCAACTATAATAACCTGCTGCAACTACATGCTAAGATGACAGTCTGTATCTGTACATAAAAGACGCCTGGTTACCAAACTGGAGAAAAATGGATTTGATGACTGGACCACTCACTGAAGAAGGAATTGGCTGTGTGGTCACACACAGAGAGTTATGGTCAACAGCTCAAAATCCAAGTGGACACTGGTGAAGGGTGGTATTCCTCAGGAATGGGTGCTGGGACCAGAGCTATTTAACATCCATGTAGGCAACACAGACAGTGGGATCAAGTGCATCCTCAGCAAGATTGCAGACTACGCCAAGCTGAGTGATGCAGCTTAGATGCTAGACAGAAGGGACACCATACAGAGGGACCTGGACAGGCTTGAGAGGTGGGCACATGCCAACCACATGAAATTCAACAAGGCCAAGTGCCAAGTGCTGCATCTGGGTCAGGGAAATCCCAAGGACAGATACAAGTTGGGTGGAGAATAGCTCATGAGCAGCCCTGAGGAGAAGGATTTGGGTGTGTCAGTCGATGAAAGACTCAGTATGAGCTGGCAATATGCGCTTGCAGCCTAGAAGGCCAACCATATCCTGGGTTGTATTGAGAGAAGTGTGACTGGCAGGTCAGGAGAACAGATTCCTCCCTTCTACTCCACTCTTAAGAGACCACATCTGGACTACTGCCTCCAGTTCTCCGGCCCCCAACATAACACAGTATCAGCCTCTACAAAGCCCAGATCCTGAGTTAAATCTTCTTTTCTCCCTGGGATTTCCTGAATGTAAGGCTGTTACATACTGCTGGTCTGCAGGCCACAATCTTCACATTTTAATGTCTTCCAGGTTTAAGACACCAAGAGGATAATTTTGGATAAAACTGCATAACTTTAATTAGGGAAAAGTCATGCTTTATTATTTGACTGTTATGGAAAAGATGTAAGTTTATTTTAAAAAAAGAAATCCCAGGCCAACTCTTAACCATTAATCTACAGTGCAGGCTTTCTGCACTTCAGAGCATCTTCTCACCCAGCAGTTACTGTAGGTAAAGATACTCAATTAGCAACATGCACTGGTGGCACCAGTTATGACTGGAAAACAATTGTGTAAGTAAGTATTGTTAGAATTGTGCCTCACTCCCACAAAACATGCAAGTGTTTCTGAGACTACAAATGCTTCTCAGGGCTTGTATACTCCACTCCCTGCTGCACAGATGAGCTAACATGGGCCCTGCCACCTTTCTTGCCTATTGGCCCCGTGCCCTGCCGGAAGGACAGGAGTCATACAGCAATCCACAGAGCACACTGAAGCACCTTGCTTTGCCTTGAAAGAGCATCAGAGGTAACGCCCCCCACCTGAAGCACCAGCAATACTCACAGACATCTGGCTCTTTTCCGAGTACCAGCACACTTCTCAAAGCAAACCTAGGTCCTTTGTGTTAGGGTGGAAGCTGGACTCAGGTCATATGAAAGTGCTTGCAATTTCTAAAGGGATTACATTTAATTAAACCAGCCCCCTTCCAGCCGTCTTAAAGGGCCTTTTCATAACCTTAAGCTCATCAGCAGAACTCCAGCAGGGAGCAGACACACCCCAGGCAGGACGGACTCTGCAGGCAGCAAACTGCAGCTTTCACACAGGTCCTAAACCAAGTTACTGAGAACAGCAAGACTAAAAAGATGCCACAGGAAGCAGAGCTGCAGTGACAGCAGTCAAGATTGAGAAAGTTCACAGCTTTCAAGATTATACTCGCAGAAACTGAACTGAGAAAGGGTGGAGGAGGCAGAGCCCAAACTGGAAGAAACCAGACATGCCCTGACACAAGCATGCATCTGACATTTTACCTCACTTCTGTAGAGACACCAAGAGAAGTGATACCAGTGCAGAAAACACTCTGCCTTTAACCGCCAGCAAAATGCAACTTTGTGGAGTTGATTTAGCACCACTAGCAGGACAGAGAGGGACAGCTGGTTAGAGCACACCGACCACTAAAGCAATACCCATGCTACTGGTTACCCACTCCTCTAGTGCTTGGAGACTAACATGCAAGTTTTTTAGAAGTCCTCTGTCCCATGCAGAGATTGGAAGAGTAGAAAACTTTTGCTTTATCTGACAAACGGTTTCAAAATAAACAGATTTGGGGGCCACTGTACTAGCATTTTCTATACAAATATTCTCACATGGTTTATAGAAAGCAGCATATCCAGTAGGTGAAAGAACCAATCTCTGTTCTTGAAATGGACAGAGGAAGCTGACTGAGGTTGCACTAAAAATCTGGTACACAATATAAGCAGTCAGATTCAAAAAGGAAACTAAATTGTTTACCCTAACATAAGCCCTGTCACACCATAGCGTCAGAGCCCTAAACATGTTTGCTTGATTGTTACCACAAAAGACTATTATTTCAATCCATGATTTAAAAGGCAAGTCATTCAACCACATGAACACAAAAGTAGGATTCCAGCAAAGTTTGTTTTTCCCCCCCCCCAAAAAAGCTTGCAGTCAGGCTTTGCAGCTCTACATAATTTACATTTCGATGACCAGTATTTACTGTACATTTAATATCTTACTTGTCTACTTCGCAAAAACACTTCTTTAGCCCAATTATTAATAAGAATAGTGAAAACTGCATTACTCCTGACAAGAGTGCTGCCCCTCTTATTTCATGTGCCCTTTCAGCAGATTTAGATATCTATCACAATCAGAAGCAATACAGCATGTTGGCAGACATCTCCTCAAGACTTCTCTTGCCCTACTGTGGGAATTTTCTAGCTGAAGAGCAAAGCCTCTATGCTAACTGATATAGCAAGCGTCCCTCTAAATTACACATTCCTGAAAACACTTGTTAGCCATAGTTCAAAAACTCTTATGTTCCTGTTACCATAAGATTCAATGAGCTGTACAGCAGAACTGAGAGCAACAGGCTACAAAAGTAAAATAAAAAGCACCTGAGTTCTGTGAAGAGGCATATCAGTGAATGACTCGCACTCCTGGTTCTCAGTAGAACAGCCTCTTGTTGGAGAAAGTCTGTCTTTGGCACAGGACAGTAGCGCAGTGCAGCAGGCAAGAGCAACTAGTTCCTGTAACTACCCTCATCAGCAGAGCTACAAGAAACTGCAGACAGGCACAAGCTTTTGAATCTTTCACCTACCAACACATATCTGTGCTAGGGTCACAGCCAAGATATTCTGCCTTTCAATTCCTCTTTCTCACAAGGGATCTCCTCACAGCTCTTCCATTTTCTCCACAGTGACATGAAGTTGGATACTTCACATCCCAGAGACAATAAAATTCTTTCATACAGTCAAAAATAAACTGGAATGCAGCCACGAAAAGAACTCTCTCTTTAAAGACACCTTTTGCAATTGAAAAGGTAATGCCTACAGAGCAGAGCAACACAGCAGTACTTTGTTGCTTTTCTGGTTCTTGAGATAAAATGTGACAAGCTAGCTTTTTGCTGAAGTCTCTCTTTACAACTGATCAATAGACCAAGGGGCCAGATCACAGGATGAAACAGCTGAACCTGAGGGGATCCTCAGAACAAGCCCCTCAGACAAGAGATTTGGTACTCATATTAAGTCAGGGTGGCTACTTCAGGTATCTTCATACATGCCGAAGCCCTTTTTCCCCAAGTAGTGAACCAAACTTACAACCTCAAAGGACATCCTTTTTAAAAATCCAGGTCTCCCTCAAACCATACCGACAGATCTCGCAAGAGAGCTTCAGAAAAGCCTGTTCCTTGCTCAAAAGGCCTGACTTTTACCTTGCCCGCACTTTAGAGGCTGTCTTCAGCTACTCACTCTGCTTCAACTTCTGTTGTCTCATAACCAGTATTTCAAAGATCTGGGCTTTTTTCAACAGTGCTAGCAAGCACACACTATAACACAAGCTCATAGTAAACCAGAGCTTTATCAGTGCCTGTTAATGGGATGGAGAACACAGAATTTTAAAATTCTGGGGGCATTGCTTACCTGGTTTAATTAATGATCAGGTTTAGGCAACTTTTATTCCTGTAGAAGTTCTTCCCAAGACTACTACCAAGTAAGTCATTCACAATTAAAAAGGAAAAAAAAAAAAAAAAAAAAAAAGGCAGGGAATTCCTCTACACAGCTCCTCCTCCAAAGTCCTCAGTAACACTTTTCCCAGTTAAAGTTACTTGAATATAATTCCTTCCTTTACAGCCAAGCAGAGAGTAACCAGGTACATCCTACCAGTGGTACTTCAACACAATGGCTGCTAAAAGCCTAGCAACACTAAGCACAAAAAATTCTCCCCTTCTACAGTTCACTCTACAGAGAGAAAGCAAAGCAAAATCTAGCCATACAAATCACTTGACCGCCATGCTACCAGCAAACTTTGGTTTTTGTTTGCTGTTTTTTTTTTCTTTTTTTCTTAGTTTTTATTACCATTTTTTAATTTGTTCTGTGCATGCTAGAAGGTGCCACTCTCCTGAGAAACAATGTATGCCTATTATGGCCTCTTTACCCTAATAGTGGGGTTGGCAGCTGTGCTTCACATGTCTGAGCTTAACCACATCCCTCATTAATGCTCTTCAACTTAACGGCGCTCAACAGAGCAGTGGGCGCGTTTGAAATGCCGGTAGCAGTGGGCGTGACATTTCTCACAGCTATTGAGCACACTTCTCAGGCAATCACAGTTACAGGTTACAAACAAGTGTTTTGGTTCACCCTCCCCATTAAAATCAGTGTTACGACCCTGGCTGCTACTGTAGTAATTGAACACATGAAACAATTCCAACACCATCACTGGAAGCAGATCAGATTTTCTGAGAAGGCTGCTAGACAGCAGCTTTTTGCCCCTTAAACTTGCATTAGTCTAGTCCTTTCCTTCCAAGCTTCATTTCAAAGACAGGAGATTTCCAAGTACCATTTAGCAACTAAAATAAATAGTTCAAGGTGTTAAGAAGACGTCTGGTAGCCAAGATGCATTTTCAAACTATCAACAGGCTTTACAAACCTAGCATCCAGTAAACACCTGCCAAAATTACAGCCAGCAATCTTGTTGGCAGGAGCTCAAAACAAGATCAAGACAGGATGCTAACAAATGTGACCCACACAGGCACACCACATGAACGTTAAGTACCTAAAGGTTCATAGGTTAACGGACTGAACAACTAATTCCCTACGTAAAGGTCTCCAAATTCACCTACAGTCAGGAGCAGTCTTAGCAGTAACTTGAAACGCAGGGCAATAAGAAAGCCACACGCAGAAGGTGCACTTATCATTCAAGAGAATTTCCTGGTAGATGCACAAAGATCACTTCTGTAACTGAGCTCTTACTTCTGCAGAAGGATTCTCATGTTCGGAAGAACAAGTTAGAAACGTACTCAACTGTTTCAGATGCTTCCCTGCTCTTCCACCAAGAGACGTGCAGCTCTTAGGCTTGCTGATAATCAGCAAGAAGGGCAGCTACATGCAGCAGCTGCCTTTTCCAGACTTTCAAAGCAGTGCTTGGGTGTGGCACTTTGAGCTCTTGGCCAGCTCACAGAGCTCACTGAGTATCTTGAACAATAGCCAGACTTCCAGGAGTTAGAACATAGCCTTATTGTGGGATTCAACTGCCCAGACTATGAGCCATCCCTCCAAATTTAACTGCAGGCAGAGTCAAATGTGAGGTAAAGCTGTTTCATCATCCTGTGATTTTCAGTTATATCATTTTCAGTGAGCTAGGAAAATCCTGCAATTTCCTTTCAGTACAGGGTCTCATGCATGCTGGCTGCTTCTACACTTATTTAGGTCACAGTTCTCTAAAATGAAGGATTTCCCTGAAGAAGCTATAGTACTTTAAGCGTAAATTTCCCCACCCACATTTGCTTCCCTCTCCAACCTATTTTAGGTTTCCAATAGCTCTGTTGGGACTGTACATAGCTTATAAAAGACCAGCTTGTGATCGCTGAAGTACCTTCTGTTATTTTAAGCTCTGTATAATTCAAGCACTTGAGCTTTCCTAATATAGAGAGTAGCTACAACAGCAGAATACACAGAACCCTGTGTCCCAAAAGGGTGGGTGTAGAGCTGCTGGCTGCAGCCTGGAGAGAGCAGTGCCAGCACACACAGGGTGCGGTCACACCACCATCCCAAGAGGCCTGTCACCATAATGCAGCCTCCCAGAGCCTCCTTTGGAGCAGTATGAGTATCTGGTAACTTTTTGGTAAAGCCTGGTTGTCACTACAGAGAACTGTAACCGCTACAACTGAAAGAAAAGAACAAAGCTTCAGACTCTCAGTGAACTGCTACTGAAACAAACTATTCCCAGCCTTCTACAGGGCTGCATATCCTCAAACAGTACTGTAAGCATCGCTAAGAAGCGCCGATGAAATGCATCATCGCTATCTGCGCCTCAGGGCTCTGACAGCTTAACGTGATCTTGTGGCCAAGGATTAGCTTTCTATGGGAAACCATTTCTAGGCTACTGCTGGACACAGACACCTTGTGCAGATCAACTGCACCAACACACTGAACAGACAAGCTGGGTATACTCAAAAACTTTTTAATAGAAAAAAAAAAAAAGAAAAAAGGGGTTGCTTTTGATAGGGTTTTGGTGGTTTTTTTGTTGTTTTTTTTGTTTGTTTGTTTGTTTGTTTGTTTGTTTTTGTCGATATAAATGAATAGCTCTTCCACTGTCTCCATCCCTCCACACTCCTGAAGGTAATCTTAAGAACTTCCAGGCATCTACATAATACTTTCCAAATTCAAGTATTTCCACACTGTGTGTGAAGAAGTCAAGAACTACTGTCTCACTGCAACAAACACAAGACTCTGAACAATTCAATCCAACTTAGAAAGTGATTCAGCCTTGATATCAGCCTTCCTCTGAGCATGAAATAGGACCAGATGACCTCCAGAGATCTTCCTCAGCTTAAATTCTGATAACTCTGCAAGACCACAAAAGCTGCTGGAGAGGTAGCTACCCTGTACTAACCAGTTAGAACAACAAGTTCTGAATTTCAATAGAGAAAAACATATAACCACAACCATCTTGCCCATCAAGCAGCCAGCCTGAAAGGACATACAGTGTATTGAGGAAATATACACAGATCACTATTTTAATCACTATTCCAGAGTAGAATATTTAAAGGATAAAAAAAATTCTTATTCTTAAAGGCATTATGAATAAAAAGAGACCAAGGGGGCTAGCGGAGTTGTTGAGAGTTCTAACACTTCACTCTAAAATTTGTCTGTCAGGTCAGTTTTTATAGTGCAACAAAGTAGAGAACAAACACTCAAGAGTGAATTTGGTATAGCTTTTGAGCTATACTGAAAAGGAGAGATTTAGGCTACAACTGCATGTTTCATAGGACTGTGTTACAGAAAAAGAAGTGCATTTATTAAATGGTGTGACTAAATGATTGATTGCACTTTTCCACTACTTAGTCACTTCCCCACCTTAACTGCACCTAATCCAGAGAAAAAGAAAGTTGAAAGTCATAAGGGCTTAGTAACGGGAAAAGGAGAAGCCAGTGATAAACAGACAAGAATGGCTCAAGTCTGCAGGAAGACGTTCTTTTTGCCTAAAAAAAAAGAATATCTGGAGAACATAGGAAAGCACGCTGCAGCAGAAGCACAGTTCTCCACTATGCTGCATGTAAGCTTGTCTGACACTGATTTAATCTCAAAAAATAAATAAAATAAAAGCTTTGCATTATTTACACTCCAGTACGCTGCTGAAGTTAGCATCCTCTTCAGAAGCCTTTCGCTAAGGCTAAGAGTGATCAGCAGTGCTACAAACTTGCAGGAGAGCATAGATCAGTCTGCACTATTCTGCTTCACTACTTCAGTTATCTTCTTTCTGATCTTTTCAGATATTTCTTTATCTCTATGCAGAACCGGTTAAAAAACAAACAAAACAAAAACCATCTCTTCCTTCTCAGCATGCCTAATCGCCTCACTCCAAAGAACTGATCTGATTCAGAATTTTTTCATTCATTCTTCCTTTTTGGGGCACCTCTCTTTTTTGCCTGTAGCTGTTAGTCAACCAATCATGGCCAATGGGAAGAAAAAACCACGTACAGCCCCCCAAAAAACCTCCTTTTCTATGCCTGGGTGTGAACATATTT